CTGTTAGAGAGCAAATCTATTTTCTCAGTAGTTACTTAACTTAGATCTTTTTTTTTTGTAGATTAGACTTTCAAAAATATGTTTAGTTGTTGAGATTTTATCAGGCAAAACATGCCTATTTCTTACATGCCAATACTTTTTACGAAGTTTTTTCTGGTGATAATGAAGTAAAAATTGCTACAATTGCAATAGTTAGCAGAAATTCCATAGATTTTTCTCCTTACTAACTCCTGACGAACTAAAACCACGTGATTGACTATCAGATAGTTTAAATGAATGAAGTATAACGATGATTAAGTACATTTTAAACCAAGTGTATTAAATAAAAAATAAAGTATGAATCTTTGCACACTACTTTGAATATAAAATCTTCCGTGACAAATATTTATAACTGTCGTTGAACAGCCGACCCAATTTTGGGTTTACGACTACTAATGTTCAACTCCGTAGCCTTGTAATTTTGAACCCAATCCAGAAGACAAGGAAACTCCTGGATCTGTACCCTCGGAGGTATTGATTTGTTAGTGGAACATGGAGGACTTCGCGACTCGACTGATTCAACGTGCATCAGTCACCATTTACTACACGGGGAGTCTTCGGCTGGCGGGGGTCGAACCCACGATCTCTTGGACATGGGCCCAGTGCCCTACCAACCAGGCTATCCCGGCCTCCGTGACAAATAGGAAAGGCTGACAATTATAACTTGTACTTCTTTAGAATAATGCTTTATGATGCTTGTTTATTTTATGTTTATTTAAGAATTACTGCCGCTTTGTTTATGATTCGACAAAATTAGAAATTTTATTCGGGAAAGTGGGAATTTCTTCCCTCCTAAAAATATAAATTCGCGAAGGCCGCACCCTTCATTTGANAATAGTTAGCAGAAATTCCATAGATTTTTCTCCTTACTAACTCCTGACGAGCTAAAACCACATGATTGACTATCAGATAGTTTAAATGAAAGAAGTATAACGATGATTAAGCACATTTTAAATCAAATGTATTAAATAAAGTATCAAAGTATGAATCTTTGCACACTACTTTGAACATAAAATCTTTCCAAGTGACAAATATTTATAACCGTCGTTGAACAGCCGACACAATTTTGGGTTTACGACTACTAATGTTCAACTCCGTAGCCTTGTCATTTTGAACCCAATGCAGAAGAAGTGGAAACTCTTGGATCAGTACCCCCAGAGGTATTGATTTGTTAGTGGAACATGGAGGACTTCGCGACTCGACTGATTTAAAGTGCATCAGTCACCATTTACTACACGGGGAGTCTTCGGCTGGCGGGGGTCGAACCCACGATCTCTTGGACATGGGTCCAGTGCCCTACCAACCAGGCTATTCCAGCCTCCGTGACAAATAGGAAAGGCTGGCAATTATAACTTGTACTTCTTTAGAATAATGCTTTATGATGCTATTTATTTTATGTAAGAAGAATTACTGCCGCTTTATTTATGATTCGACAAAATTAGAAATTTTATTCGGGAAAGTGGGAATTTCTTCCCTCCTAAAAATATAAATTCGCGAAGGCCGCACCCTTCATTTGAAATAAATTACAATTCTTCGCGTTCATAATATTTTTAAGTCACATTTCTTACAATATTTTAAAAAGGATTGACAAAACATTACTTTTAGCTGTCCTAGTAAACATTTGTAATGTATTTAAGCTTTAAAAGTTTCAGGAAAGTAAGACATTATAAAGAAAACTATTACTTATTTGCTCTTAAGTACCATTTTAAATTCAGAACTCTACAGTAAAACCAGGTAAGAACCAATCAGCATCAGTGTTTATTGAAAATGCCTCATTAGCCTTAACGTGGGCACTAGAAGGCAAGACGAGTGCTAACATGGAGCTGGTCCGAGGCGAGATCAAAAGACAGAGTGATCTGATCTTATGTGCCACCTGGCACGAAGTGGGATAATAACAGGTACTATTTAAATCATTTCATTCTTTTAAAAAAAAAAAATTAGAAAACTTTTAAATATTCAAAGATTTTTCAATCATTTAAGAATACTTCTCTCTCTCTATATATATATATATTAATTTTTATTTTGTGTTACATTACTCATTTTAGAAAGGGAAAATCGTCACAACACATGTGGCATCGCTTCATTAAAGATTTCTGGCAGGTGTGCAATGGTAATAAAATTTCGATCTATCTGTTCGATTTCAAGGTCCTTTTTCTTTAAATGCTTTCGTGTTTTTCAATCACGATTATTCTCTTTCAGAAATTTCCTATGTAACTGGAAAGACAAAATATAAGGACACTTTAATGTAAAAACGATTCCGATAGGGAGGTACGAAAAACTATTTATCATTTTTCCACATACATTGTTTGTCAACTGACTCTAACAGTGAAACGAAAGTTTGAGCGCGAAGTACAAAAAATATATTAAAAAAGTAAAGTAATTTTAAAAAAATGACATATACTCTAACCTCCTGAGACCCGAGCTTCAAATGATGGCCAAAAAAATGCTACTTTAAATGCTTAAGTACTACAAAACAAACTTACAACTGCGTTAAAACAGTATTTAAAGGAAGGATTCAATTAATTGAACCTTTTTAGTTATTTTTAATTATTATATAAAAATGTTAAATTTTAATTTTTAGTATTTTCGGCATATTATAGTATCTTTTTATAGTGTGTATTTTTTCACATGAAACAAAACTCAAATTATAAGATATTCATATGCATATTTTAATACTTTTTTTTACACGAATTCGGTCATTTCTTTTGTACGTTATGAGAATTCATGAGTCCTCATTCACACTCTTTTCAGGAACATCTCATTAAATCACCAGGTATCCATGTTACTGTGAATGGGTGGTTGTTGATTTCCACCGGTGAATGTCGACAATCACATAGTCGCTTTGGTAAATATCCGGTGCAACTCCCCGGTATACACTAAACTAATGTTGTTGTTTTTTCTTTTAAGGTTCAGAGCCACAGTTCGGTATACCCAACATGACTGTTTCTTTTTTAAAGTCAAGTGCCACTGTCCAGTATGTATTTAACCGGTACTCCGAACACTCACGTTTATCCTAATATATCCGCAGCAGATATTAAGATATCGAATAAATATAATAATATCAAAGAATAAAATAATATCAAATTGGATATAACGAATATTTCGAACATTCACCAAAGCCACCCTGTGAATGTTGACATTCACCGGTGAAAGCACGGTAACATCCATACATCTCCGTATTACATTCACTTGCAGTGTATTCTTGAATATAACAGAGATTGTCAGCTGAAAAATCTATTTAAGGTATGGGTAATGAAGATTTGCCTCTTACAGTATTTCTACTCAAGAATGAAAGCTTTTCTTTTAAAAGTAAATCAGTAAAAAACAAATCAATCTGCGGAGAAAAATAATTATTTAATGAATATAAGAAACGTAGGCAAAGTTGAACACAATTTCGTTCATTGACAACAGAAATATGATATTCTCAAAAAATAAAAACCTTCGATATTTTGCATCAGTTTATTTTCAAGCACCCACTTTGTTAATACTGACATTTATTATATTTCAAAAATGCAATTACTATCATAACAAAACATTTCATGCTTAAGAGATATCAGACTGGTCTATTTTTTTGCAATTTGGGAAGGTGACCTCCTTTATCGTTATCTAATCTCCTTTATCGTATGGTTTAAAGGTTGTTGCGAACGACCGTGAATACAATATTGATTAAAAATAAAATCTTGATAACAAATATTACATGCAGCTAAATGGCATTACTTTCCGGTCCCCCCAATAGTATTGAAATAACAATGAAGATTAGCTCAATTTTGAACATACAATTATTCAGGTGTAGTATTTAAATTTGAATTATTTTCAATCTGTAGCGGTCAAAATCACAGTAAATTAAATTATTCAAATCAAAAAGTAAAGCATGAAATTTGGTACCATTTTAAATACAGTCAAACCCCGCTATAATTAACACGGTTTATAGTGAACTCCCGGATATAGTGAACGAAATGTTCGATCCCGTGCCTTGCTATACACGGATGTTATTTTTTGTGGATATAGTGAACCAAAAAAGTGAGGAAGTTGGATATAATGAATTTTTTTCTGTCTTCAACTGATTTAAAAAAAAAAAAAAAATATTTTTAATAATTTTGAAATTTCTAATTTTACGTCTTCCATCAGTACAAAACAAGGTGTAGAAAACCTGCCAATTTCTCTTGCATATCTAAGGTGGTAGCAAAATGTTCGTTTAAATGCTTGACGTAAAAAGATTTTGACCACCACACTGTATCAGTAATTTACATAAAATATCAGAAAAGCAAGCAGCTTTGTCCTTAGGTGATGTACCTTTGCTTACTTAATTATAATGAACTCATTATCACTATTCATTTTAATGTCGAGAGCTAAAACTTCCGAGTTGGCAGCTCTGAGAAAGTCCGTTCACATAACCCATTTCCATACTTCAGATATCCCGACATCACTGGAAACGAATTTTGGCATTTCGGGCAGAAATGCGAGGTTTCCTCTCAGACATCCCCTCCCATCCTCTGCAACGAGGAGCCTGGTGGGTAGGGCGGGAGTCTAGCCGGCCCCGTGTATTAAATGGTGCGCGCTAAGTCTGTCGGAGTCAAAATGTTCTACAAGTTCCCTTTACAAATCAATACCTCTGGGGGTAATGATCCTCCCTTGTCTTCTGGATTGGTGATCAACATGACAAGGATATGGAGTTGAGCGTGGGTAGTCGTAAACCCAGAATTGTTCAACGATGGTTATAAAATAAAATTAAATCCTCTGCACCGAAATAGGGATCCTTGGTTGAACACAATATAGAGACGCACCAATTGATCGGAGACGATGAAGAACACGGGTCAATTGTATTCAAACCACTGTTACATCTTTCAGATAATGTTTTTGGGTTCTGCTTAAAAAGGTTTTGAGAACACAATTTTCACAATCGTGGCTTCTGCTAATAATGACCAAGAATAAGTCCTTTAAAAAAAAAAAAAACTTTTCCCCATTCTAGTGCATTTAATGTGTTATTTATGCAAGCATTTTGAGGAGGTTTTATCCCAACAGGTTTTGCATACTAGAGAACATTTAACCAATTTAATAGAAAATGTTAAAGGTTTTTAATTCATTGGTCTGTGTGAGTTTATAAACAGAATTGGAGATCGAAATGGACTACAGGTGGTTTGGAGCAGAACTCTCTACCTATGGCAATGCTTAGCATACTTTCACCATTAGCGTGTAGAGAGTCATAGGAGAAAGAAGTACATTAGTTCTTCCCTTGATTTTCAAATAGATTAAAAAATTTTGGAACTGAACACTACATTGAACAAAGTTCTAAAAGAAAGCGTTGTTGAAGTTTAAAAAAAATATTTTTGACAGATTAAAGACGAACAATATTAAGAAAGAGTAAAATATCGTAGTATATTCCTGTACAACCGGAAAGAGGAGGAGAGGGAGGAAGGGCCAAAGGTATGGAACTGGTTTTCTCCCCAGATGGCGCATTCGAGCATTGCAATCGAAACCAAAAAGTTTTATCCTCGATAAACAAAAAATATTTTCAACAAAGAAAATGTTAAACAAAAAAAAGTACTGGTGGAAATTCAAAGAAAATATGAGAAAGACAGGTAGTCGGAAAAACTACTCTAAATTCATTAAATGTCATATTAAACGATGAAATTTTACTCTTTCACATTTACTGTACATGAAATGCTTTGTTATGCAAGTGGTCATAATTTCTAATGAATTGAAAAACTCATAGTTAAATACTAACACATTAGCGAAGTAAACATACTGTGTCTTCAAATATTTATAAAATTAAAACACATTTTTATTTCGGAAATATGCATAACATAGGCCAGCAGTTTCCAGCCCATATGAGCAGCCATGTACAGATACTTATATAGGTATCACTTGGACATTATAACTTACTTTTACATTTAGTAGTTAGCACACTTTTTATTTTTTTAATATAAAATCAGTGATTGGTATTACTAAAAAGGTTGAGAAACACACTGACAAAGGCAAGAAAAATATAAGTGAACAATGCATAAAATATGAAAAATAGGGGCATAAAACCTAAAGCAGAAAAAAATATGATACTTACAATATTTTTATGCATAATTTTTAAACATTTAGCCTGCTGTATTAAAACTGTTATATTCAAAATCAAATGTATATTTTAAAAAAAATATAATAATGATCAATAAACATCTGGTTACATTTTTTTTAGTCTCTGCAACATTTTGTTCAGAATAGTTCATTCATCACATCATATTTGATCTTCTACATCAAATGTTGTCTTCATTTCAAAAAGTTATAAGATATAAATTAATGTAATCAAAGTAATTAAGCTTTGCCAATTTAACTTTCAATAAGAATTGCAGCGCCATCTATCAACAAATAATTAAACTATTTTTGCATTGGAATTTCATACTGTTGCCTAATCTAATATAAAGAAGAAAAAAATGTTTGTAAACACTGCCTCACAAAAAGACATTCAACTATTGTGGGCATTTATTGACAGGTAAGTAATGTTATGAATACCAATACACTATTTGATAGCAATAAACTATAGCAATAAGCTATTTGATAGTGTGTTTGTCAAACTAAACAACGCCCCTCGTCAATAATTTGGGGCATTGACCGTGGTTGCGCGTTTTGACCACTTCAAGTAGGGATAGAGAGTAAAAATTTAGTATGAGCTTCGACAATAGGTCCGCAAGAGAAGTACCAAATGCTCCCTTCCTTCAAATGCAATTTTTCTTGTTTAGACAACAATTGACAATCTCAGATTCTGCATCGAGAAGAGCTCGTTAAATAGGCAAACTGTGACAAGTTCATCTTAAATATAAAACAGATTAATACAGTATAGTTAATTTTAGCACTGGGATGATTATATATAAATATATTTTAAAAACTGTGACATAGTAAATGCTAAATAGCAAATGCATTGCATTTAAAGTACAAGGGTGCGACTACACATTTTATATTCACAAATAAAATGTTACTTTCATCTTCTTTCATTCTTAAAACATGAACCCAAACACAAACCTTGACACACATCCAAGTAAGCAGATAAGTAATTAGAACTACAATTTATAACATTTAATATTTTTTACATCTTTTATGAGTCATATACACAGAGTGACATGCCTTCCAACCTCCTAATTAAAGTTTATAAACATGCATATTTGAATATTAATTTGGTAGCTAATGGACTCTTATAATTTTACGCATGTTATTGATCACACAAGCCTATGGACTGAGATATTATATAAACAGCTGTATTTAGTTGGTACAGTTAATTATAAATCAGTATTTATTCATTAGAAAGCTATATAAATTGAGATAAAAGTATAAATGCACAGTAAAGTCCGTCCATCAAAAGATATTTTTTTGCCGGTCATCTTGAGCACTGTCGGTGACTATGGTTACTAGATTGAAGTATTCCAAGCAAGGTTGTTGGTAAAATACTTAAGATAAATTTTGATAGGGGAATAAATAAAAAATTTCCCCCAAAAAATTTGTTTTTTGGGATAGCTATCAGTTACATACTTCAAGTTCTTATCTGTGATTTATTTATTATTTTTACATAGTTGGTGCAATTACTGAATAGAAAATTTACTCCAATTCTGGACATAAAAGCTTTTTCCGTAACAATTTCAAATTTATCTTATTTTGCAGCCTCAAAAATACTCTAAAATTAAAATATATATAGGACTACTTAAAAAAAAAAAAAACATTACTATGAACAATCTTACAAAAAATTGCCAAATTATTTCATTTTCAATGGAAAGCTTTACAGATGTTTTTACTGCTAAAAAAAAAAAAAAAATTAAGAATCTTTCGACTTGACTGTCGAAGGGATGAGGAAAGAAAATACTAAATATGCCTTTAATCCATTTTCACAAATAAACTGATGATGGATATTTATTCCAGATGGCACTATATTTTGATACATTCAAAATTTAAGGCTGTCACCCAATCAGAATTTGATATATAAAGTGCGCAGTATTTAAGATTCTCTATTAATTTTTTTCTCACAAAATTATGCAAATACAATTGTGCAATTAACAAGTTTCGAAAGATATTTAAATAGTTAACAAATATTAGATTTTAGATTTTTGATAAGTATTTTAATGCAATTAATGCTAAAGGAAATTTTTTAGCGTCATCCAAATCACTTTTCAACAAAATTGCAATAAGTTTAGATTTTACAAAATCTAAAAACTGAGAAACGTATAGTTTTAAAATACTTACTCAAAACCACACATCGCATCATTTTATTGCTTTAAAGTTTTAAGGAAAAATTTACAGAAGTTCTAAAAATTATCAAGTGCAATTCCTTCTAATCTAATAAAGCAACCCTTTTATTTCCTACTGTTTTTTAAAAGTATTCTGTTGTCTAATAATACTACATCTTCAAAGGTTTGTCAAGTATAAAAAAAAATAGGGAGCAAACACAAATTGAAAATTTAACCTAAAATCCAAGAGGGTGAGGGTAGGGACCTCGTAAGAACATCTATTAACATTTGTACCATAAGTTGTTTTTGTTAAATTGCTTATAATTGCAAAACAAGGCATTTGTTTAATCCTCTTAAAATGAAAGTTTTAAAATAGTCTAGAATTGTAATTTTTATGAAGAGATAATGTAATTTGTATTGTAACATAAACTTAATTTTAAAATTTCTTACATTTTTTACCTGTAAAACTAATGTTTGATGAATTTTCATTTTTAAAATTAAGAGAAAATCATGCATCGACAATGTATTTCTTACACTATAGAAAAATTATTAAATAAAAAATAATAATTTAAACTCAATAACATTTAAAAAATCTCTATTTTGAAGGGGAAAGCTCTGTCACTGGCTTTTTAATGAAATTTAAAAATACACAATAGGAGGATTTTCTGCATCAAATTATGACACCCACATGGGAACGCAACTGTGCCAACAAATTACATAAACTATTCTAAACAAAAAGAATTTAATGGATGATGAACCCTTTAAAAATCCGTACAGGTGGCACTAAAGGTTAAAATTTGTAACAAGACTTCCAGGTTGCTACATCTGGTTTATTTTTACGGAGCTAAAGAAGAAAAAAACATATCTTCTTATTAATATTGTTATTGTGCTTGTATTGGTTACAATATGAATTGGGGTATTTACCTTATTGACTTACTACAATTCATTTGGACCATGACTTCCCTTAAAACAGTTTGTCTCATATTTTCACTTTAGATAATCATTATTCTTAAGTCCTATAGATCTCTATCATCTATCCATCTCTACCCCCTTTTTGCAGACCATGAAAAATATTTCTTTTATTCTCTCTATATGCCCCACCTAACCATTGGATTCTTTTTGTTTTCATAGATTTAATTATTAGTGCTATTAACCATTCAATTCTTGAATCTATTTAAAGTTAGCTAAAGGCATAAAATACTGAATATAAATCTCAAAAAGATGGCAAACCTTTATATTTTATGTTGTGACATTAATTTCCTAGAATCAATTTATGACCTTTTAGAAATTACAAAGTATGGAAAAATTTTATAAATGGAAAAATTATCAGCAAAATTAAATACAAACCTCAATAATAAAACTTCTGGAATATCAAACCTTTTATACATCGTTTTGTAGTCATAATATAAGCTGAAGAATACATTGGAAGATTCAATATTTCGTTCCAGTTTTAGAGTCTTCTTGCTTTTTACACTCGATTCTCCATCCATAAATTGAGATTATATTAATAAAAGTATATTATAATATTAATAACTACAAATTTTACGTGTGCACCGACATATTGATTAGACTTACATATGCAATTGTCATTTTGTATAGACATGTAAATATCAAAACAGCTTATGTTCATTCTATACTTAAATTCTCAAAAGTAAAAGACATTAAAATAGCTTTCAAGAGTTATGATAATTCTAGAATATTATTCAAAGTTAAAAAAAAAAAAAAAATTCATGATAACAAAATGATTAAATGTTTTTCAAACTACATATTCTAAACTAAAATCTAACTTCATTTAATAAAATTACTAGTTTAAATTCAAGGACTTTTTTTCCTTCAGGAAATTTCTTGGAGATAAAAAAAATTATGAGAATTCTAGATTAAACCAAAATCAAAGAGTTGGCAGCTAAAGCGGCTACATATGCCAATCTGAATATATTATACTACATGAAAACCATGACATTTTTAAGAGAGGTTTGCATAAAAAATATTTGTTAGATATAACAAAAATACACATTGCTAATTACATTGAATTCAAAGATTGTAAGACATCTGAGTCAGAATAAAACATGATTGAGATCTAAAACCATGTGAATACTTGTGATCACAAAATTAAAATAAAGAAAATTAAAAAAAAAAAAACTTCTTTCAGAATTGATCACAATACTCTATAATACTCGTCACATTGCTAAGGTTTCTGCTACAGAGCTATTATGTTTACTCCATCACTGTTAAGGCTAAAAACATATAGCATAGATGAGATCGCAAATAGAACTCTTACTTTAATCACAAACTCTAAAAGAATTCATTTTTTTATTTAAAAAAGATATTTTACGTGTTTAAAGTATCATTTTTTGACTAACATTGAAAACCATTGCCAAACACTCTTTCTTTGTAATCTTCTCTGTTGATAAAAAGAAGAGCACGAATCATCGGGATAATCGGCAATCAGCACTTGAATTCGTGTCAAGGTACTGCCATTATGATAAAAATCTTTCACTGTCTCGTAGGAGTCCATAATCACCGATATAAATAGAGATATCACAACATATATAAACAGACTTATAAAAGTGTAGAGATAAAATCTGCTAAACCACCAAATTAAATTATTATTGGTGTTCGTTATGGCAAAAGTAGCAAATAAATCATCACCATTCATCATGGCAAACAGGCATTCTGACGTGCTGCTCAAACTGCGGAATTTGATGTGATAAGGTCCGAGCACCACCCATCCGCAGAATGTGAAACCGGAGTACAGTAACACGCAACACAATGTGAAGCGCAGTACATTTGGTATGGCCCTCTTCATGGTTAAAATAAGTATATTATACTTTCTGAAGAATCCCAGGTAGCGAAGCACGCCAGCCCAAACTAATAGATTGCCGACACCAAGGAGAATGGCACAAGTTGCATATTGGTCGCTCTCGACACTTCTTTGCTCGATAGCTGCCTTTAATGTTGAAGCTGCTATTATTAATGCATCGTTGAATATCATAGTGCAATACCATATATCAAGAAACTCCATTTTCTCCGCAGTCGATAACATTTTATTTTGAGTTTGCTTGAAAAACGTGTCTGTTTGTGTGCACAAAAGACGAGCTTTGGCCAGCATGCGAAAACATAACAAAAGTGAGAGTATGCATATGGATATGATGAAGCAGTTTAGAATTTGGCGTGCAACGTAACCCCACTTGTCGACTGGATCCATGTTACCATTGTGATAACATTTCAGTTTTTCTCCGATAGTATCCAAGTCGACTAACACTTGTCCATCGTGTTCGTTATTATTAAAAGAAACGCGAATTTTAAATCTGTAACAATCGGGATATTTATTGTTACCGATTTTCTTAAGAAAAATCGTTTTCAATGCGAAAGACAAGTCTGCAAAAACCAGTTTGTCAAACGAGATCGTATCATTTTGCTCGGACAGATACGTTCTAATTGAAAAGTGTGCCCAACGTGGATCACCGGGCGGATAAATACTGGGAATGTCGTGGCATAATTCCTTTGTGTGACCATCAAATGTCACAGAAGAGTTGAAGGCAACAATCATTTTAAACTCTTTGCGACAAAATGTTAAATTAGACATTGTACAGTTCACTTGATCGTAACAATACGTACCCAGAGCAACATTTGTAATGTTTGCATACGTCCTGATCACATGATTGACTGTACCGTAAAATTCCGGTTTAGTATAAACAGCGTAGGGTCCCGTAGAAGGGGGATAAGCAACCACATCGCGCAGAGATGTCCAATCTTTCAGAAACATGTGTCGAAAACTAAATACAGTGTTTTGCTTTTGTAATTCATAAACAGTCCCATCTGATCCGAACACTACGAGTTGCAGAGTGACAAATATAATTTTAATAACCTGAAGAAGCAGTTTCCATGGAAATTTACCTTTAGCCCTCCATTTTTCGATCGGGTTCATAAAAAAGTACTTTAATTTTCTTTTCAATTCTTCTTCCGCACAAATAGGTACGTCGTCGTCCATTTCATGAGTGTTCGTCGTGTAAGATTCGTCGGGAAATGAAGCTGTTATACCGCCGTATGTTACATTTGGATGAACTTCGAAGCTGTTTCCCAGCAACGAAGATCCTTCGTCAGGAGAAAGCTGTGAAGGCAATTTACTGCTGTCACCTGAACTACGATTTCTTGAAGTTTCCATATTAAGATAAAAATAGAAGTCAAACAAAAAGAGTATGAATATAAATAAAATCACTGGTTTTGATGCTGATCATACCGGATCGTTTACACAGCTGTCAGAAGATAATCAAGTCATAAACAGTATATGCGTCATTGTCCCGTGTTTACATTTTTTCATATGAAAATATAAATAACAATAATACATGGAGTCGTTATGCAATCGATTATGATTAAACGCATACTCAAACAGCTCTCTTGAATCTTGTGACTTTAAAAACCGCATTAGCCGGAAGACCAAATTTATGTGAGGGTTTTCTTAAAAATATTTTTTAAAAAATATGTATTGCTTAAGCTTATGTACTTTAATCGTCGTCGTAGGAGAATGGGAAACCTGAGTGGTGAAAAATATTTACATAAGAAGATGTATATAAGAACTCACCAATGAGGTTCACCATTTTCCTCTGCGACTATGGGAAATGCATTAACCGCATTCAATGAGAATGGCCCTAAAGATTTTATACGTTGTATATAAAATTGTTTGTTGCATTGCTAACGACCCTTCACTATCTCACACCAGCTAAATACTCTCTATAAATACTTGTATATATACTCTTTTGCTTGTATAAGGTTTGTACCGAGCGAAATGAAGCAGCAAAAATGGATTCGAGATGTCCTCCATACGCGTGGAATGTGAAGTGCCACTCGAACTGCAAGCTGATGCTGAAAGAGAGCTCGCAAAATATATTTCTAATTAAAATTTATGAACAATAATGGTACTTTATTTATGTCACATTAGAGCTGCACAATGGGCTATTGGCGACGATATGGGAAGCGGACCTGCCATCGCAATTTTGCTCAGGGGATGACCCCTACCTTGGTAGCCCCACAAACTGCACGCGAAGTCGAACATTTTACGGAAGAGCAGTTTAATGAGAATCGACACGGTGCACCCTCTGTCCCTACGCTGGCAGATCAAAATGGTCACCCACCCGCATATTGACCGCAGCAAGTGATGCTTGATTTCGGTGTTCTATTGGGAACCTTGTCCTTACGATCAGTTCACTGCGGAACAAATAAATAATAAAGGTAAAACGTAAAAAAAAGAAAGAAAAGTAATGACGAATTTATTTCAGTCTTATCTTATATCTAGCATATGCATCCGCAAGGGGTTTTCTAAACACCCTGGAACACCAATAAATTAAAAATTATGTTTTACTTTTGAGTGTCATCAATTTTTTTTATCTGAAGCATCTATCAATAATGCTGTTTATGTCTTATATTGAATCTCTTCCGATTCATAAACTGTGAAAAAACTTAACAATTTTGAATACAATTAACTAAATTTTGTTTTGCTAATCGTGAGAAAACAATTGTTTTAAAATAATTACTTGATAGAAAACTAGTTCCTTCGCAGTCTTTCTTTTGCAGTCTTGTCATATTCAACTTCAATGTCTCGAAATTTTTAAAACATATATGATTACTTTTTCAGTAATTAATTTAAACTAAAAATATACGTAACATAAACTTATTGTTTTTTCTTTTGCACTCTTATCATATTCAATTTAAAAGCTGTTTTGAAAAATATAATTACTATTTTTAAAAAAAAAAAAAAGTTAATAAAAAAATTACTTTTTTCTTAAAAATTGAATTAAGTTATTAAAAAAGCAGGACGAAAAATTAATTAAACTGAATTATAATAATGGTTTATTAAAGCTTTTCAGGGCACTCGTGAAAAATTAATTTTCAAGCATTCTAAAATAAATTAAAATTATGCATAATTAAAAATATTTTAATGAAATGTCGGTACATATCCTTATAGGTGAGCCGATAAAAAAAATCAGTAATGTTTTATTGACGCCAATAATGCTTTATTAATTATAAATTTTAATTTTTCTCTCCTTTCATTGGTCTCCCAAAACATATAGGAACCTGAATAACTTCTCTGGTTGCAAATTGTGTTCAAATTTAACGTAATTTCACCATTCATAAGAGTTTTCTGCAACTTATAAATTTTTTCTAACATGCTGTGAGCCTAAAGCAAATTTAAGAAAATTAATATCACAAAATAAATTAAATTAAAGGTTTGCCATGTTTTGTGTACATATTATGTCTTATTTGGCTATATTTCTGTAAAATATCACCGTTAATTATTTTTTGGGCTTCATTTTGCAGTGTGTGGGCCCCTCAGATGTCGGAGTGGGATGCACTGCCTAAAATACAACAACACTCATAAACGAAGTAGTGTGAACTTCTAATCTGAATTGAAGCAATCTAGTTTGCTTCAATTTAGATCAGAAGTTCACACTGCTTCGTTTATGAGTGTTGTTGTATTTTAGGCAGTGTATCCCACACAGTGCATAGTATAGCATGCTTGCAAAGTCATCCAAATTCATAAGTTGTTTGCTTCGTTGTAATTTAAATAGAAAAAAAAAACGTATTATCTTGTAAACACTAGATTGTTGTTGTTGTTACTTTACGTCGCACTAGAGCTGCACAATGGGCTATTGGCGACGGTCTGGGAAACATCCCGTAGGATGATCCGAAGACATGCCATCACAATTTTGATCCTCTGCGGAAGGGATGGCACCCCCGCTTCGGTAGCCCGACGACC